CAAAGCACTAGCCTGAGCAAGAAAGCTCAGGGACAGGGCCTAAGCCCTGAGTTCAAGCCCCACGATTGACACGCACCCCCCCCCCCCAAAAAAAAGGAAGCTAGACAGACATCACACCCTGCCTGGGATAAGACTTTTATTTTCCAAGATTTCTCAGTAGCAGAAGCCTGGGAATCTAGAAGGAAAAAGATTGTTTCTCCATGGTAGTGTAATATATGGAAATTTGCTTCACACTCAGAAGGCTAAGACCAAGCACTAGGCTTTTTTACAGCACCCACTATCTGTATTGCAATAATTTCTCTTTCGGAAGAAGGTTCTGTATGTCTGAGTCTTGGCAAGGGCCGCTCTTGGGTAGAGGTGGCAGCGACAGCCTGGGTGGGTAGATCTGAGCAGTACAGTACAAGGGGTTTTTTCAGTGCTTAGCTTGGGAGGCTGTGGCTGGCGGGGACTGAGGAGACACTGAAACACTGAAGCCGCTGCCACCACCAGCTGATGCAAGTTTTATTGAGCAAATGGACAAACAGGACATGGAAACAAGGGTGTTGATGCTGGGACCAGGAACGTAAAATGGAATACAAAAATAAAAAGGCACTAATCTGTTAAGAAAAGACACTCAATGTATTCTAAGAATATAAGTCATTTAATACTGTTAATTTTATAGCACAAAATAAAACAAGCTATGATCCCCAAAAATAATTTTAAAAGCTTACACAGAAAATATTATTGCCTGAAGTTTATGATCTTTAAGTTACAGGTCAAAAGAGTTTTATGTTGTTTTAAAACACACAGTGAAGACCGTCTAGAAGCAAGGCCACTGTTCCTCCTGCAGGGACGATCCTGTCTCAGAGAACTGTCCTTCTACTCCTTTAGAATACACAACCAGCTCGGTGTCCACACTGACAGCAGTTACCAGGGTCAAGGTTCTCTGGTCCCAGAGGGTGGAGTTTGAGGCAGAGCTCAGTGGTGTCCACAGAAAGCATTAGTCTTAGGTACTGTGTTAAAACAATCAAGAATTCACTCATTTAAAGAGGTTAATGAACATAATATTAAAGGATTAAATTATAAACACCTGGCACAAAAACACATCATCCCTTTTCAAAAAATAAATGTTCATATTCCTCTGAGCAAATGTTACAAGAGCAGTGGCCGTCGTCTCGGGCCTGCCTTGTCTGTAAACAGCTGTAAAGGCCGGCACAGTGCCAGGGTGTGAAGCTCCAAGGAGGGCACAGTGGTCCTTTCCTCCTTTCCTTGAGCATAGAAGGTGTGGTCTCGGTGACCAAAATCATCCAATGGTAGCTGGTCAACGCATCCTCACTGTTAACCAGGTGGTAGCATGCAGTGCAGAAATGGCAAGGATGACTCCTATGATGGAGGTTCTGCCCAGGATCAACAGGTTTTCAAACAAACTGTCAATGCCCTCAAATTCATAATTTGTTTCCTTCCCAGGTCAAAAACCATAGTGAATTGCTGTTCCAATATTTTCTACACCACAGCACAGCAGACCAAGTAGCAATGAATAGTCATTAAAAAAGCAAACCCAAGATCAAATGCATACTTATTCTCTGAAGCATGAATGTTTTCTCAAGATCAGTGGAGGCTTATTTTTGTGCTTGGGCACAAAGCTGAGCTGAAGTGCTGCTTTTTTTCTTTTCTTTCACAATGTGTGTGCTGGTCGTGGGGCTTGAATTCAAGGCCTGAGTGCTGTCTCTACCACTTGAGCCACAGTTCCACTTCTAGCTTTTATTTATTTATTTATTTGGTGGTTAATTGGAGAGAAGAGTCTCATGGACTTTTTCTGTCCAGGTTGGCTTTGAACTGTGATCCTCGATCTCAGCCTCCTGAATGGCTAGAATTACTGGTGTGAAGTACTGGGACTTGGTACTGAAAACCAGAATTTCCTCATCTGAATAAAATCAAAGAGTTTCTACTTTTGGCACGTATTTTGAGAGTTCATAACTCAAGACTCTCTTTGTTTGGAGCTCTGAATCTCCTGAGAAGCCTCAGAGAATTCTTTTTTTTTTTTTTTTGTCAGTCGTGGGGCTTGAACTCTGGGCCTGGGTGCTGTCCCTCATCTCTTCAGCTCAAGGCGAGCGCTCTACCACTTGAGCTACAGTGCCACTTCCGGTTTTCTGGTGGTTTATTGGAGATAGGAGTCTCACGGTCTCTCCTGCCCGGGCTGGCTTTGAACCGCGATCCTCAGATCTCAGCCTCCTGAGTAGCTAGGATTACAGGCGTGAGCCACCAGCGCCCGGCTAGAGAATTCTTTTTTAATTGGTCGGTTGTAGGGTTTGAACTCAGGGCCTGGGCACTAACCCTCAGCTCTTTTTGCTCAAGGCTAGAGTTCTACCACTTTGGGCCACATCTCCACTTCCAGTTCTTAGTTGGCTAACTGGAGATAAGAATCTCATGGCCTTTTCTGCCCCAGCTGGATTTGAACAACAATCCTCAGAACTCAGCCTCCTGACTAGCTAGGATTACAGGTGTGAGCCACCAGACACTGGCCTGGAGAAGTAATTCTGAAATAATTCATTAAGAATTAAAATCTAGGGGCTGGGAAGGTGGCTCAGTGGTAGAGTGCTTGCCTTGCATGCCTGAGGCCCTGGGTTCGATTCCTCAGCACCACATAAGCAGAAAAAGCCAGAAGTGGTGCTGTGGCTCAAGTGGTAGAGTGCTAGCCTTGAGCTGAAGAGCTGAGGGACAGTGCCCAGGCCCAGAGTTCAGGCCCCATGACCAGACCCAAAAAAAAAAAAAAAAAAGAATTAAACTCTAGGTTTCTGGATAGTTTTATTCTCAAGTGCTCAGCCTAGGGTGGGTTTTATAGGTCACTAGACCTAGCTGAAAAGCCATATACTACTCATACTGAACCAACTAATATAATCTAAAGGAGCCAAGTTTTCAGTTATATGTGACTTCAAAAAGGCTTTCTTAAGCCAGGCATGGTGGCAAATGCCTTGTAACCCCAGCAGAAGTATCATAGGCTTTAGAGCCAGCTTGAGAAACTAAGAGAGATGGTTTCATGCCTTGCATATGAGGCTAGGGTTCAATCCCCAGTAAAAACCAAAACAAAACCAAGGATTCAGAGTCTGTGCACATATTCACCTTCTGCTAGGCATTCCACTCACTTGCAGGAAGCAATAAGGGCAGGGCTGAAGCAGGTCACTGTCTGAAAGGCACACACTGTTTGTGGTACGGCTTAGAGACTCTTGCCCCCACTTGGGGGCTCTAGGCTGAGCCTGAATTCAGAACAAACCTTCAACTCAGCAGACCTAGCTAAAACAAAGATGGTAACTGCAAGGAACAGCGTTGTGCAGGGTGTGACTGCACTTCACTCTGCTTAAGGAAAGCTGATCTATAACTTTTTTTCAGGAAAGTTGTAGACAGTGGTTTTTTTTCAATGATTATTTTGTCACAGGTACACTCAAGATTCTGTAAATATGGCAGTCATCAGCTTAGTGGAATAGTGACGTAAAAAGAAATCAATAAAAGTAATGGAAAAAGTAATGTAATAGGTATTTTGCTGGTTATGTCACTACAATATATTGCTCTAAACCTTTAAAAAAAAAAATCCAAGAACCTCCAGAGAAAGTGCCATAGTTAACAACAACAGGTGCTTTGTAAATGCTAGAGCTATTTACTCGATCACTGCTACATTTCTAGGTCTGCTGTATTCACTCTGAGTAGAAGCTTGATGTCAGGGTTCAGATGAGCAGATTGCACTGCATAAAGATTCCAAAATGAGTCTGCTGGGTCCAGACTTGAGGGATTGAGGGACTAGTCACATATTTGCACCAATGGACTTATATAAATAGATCTCTTTTAGCTAACAAGAAAACACTTAAACATCAACAAACCTACAAATGGTTAACAGTAACTTGTTTTAGGGTTCCCCCTAGTCACTATAATATTAGCCTAGAACTCAAGTGCATGAACCAAATTCCATAGCTACTATTTCCTTTGCTTAGGACCATCACAGATGCTTAAGACTGTGGAGGCAGCAACAGACATCTTTTTCTGGCAGCCTGGGGAAGGTTGGCCTAAGCAAGGAGATTCGTGAGTGGGTTTCAATGAGTAGAATTAATGAATTAATCAATTTTTATTTTTGTCAATCCTGGGACTTGAACTTGGGGCCTGGGCAATATCCCTGAGCTCTTTGCCTCAAGGCTAGCACTCTACCACTCTGAGCCACAACACCACTTCTGGTTTTCTGGTGATTAACTAGAAATAAGTCTCACAGACCTTTTCTGTCCTTGCTGGCTTTGAATTGTGATCCCCAGATCTAGCCTTCTGGGTAGCTAACATTACAAGCATGAACCACCAGTGACCGGCTAATGAGTAGAATTTGATAATGCAATATAGTGACGCTTTGGTGAACCCAGTAATTCTATGAACCACTTCCATTTTTAAGGAAATATAAGTCCTTAAAGGGATGCTTTCACAGAAAAGCTGTCAGAAAACCAGTTAAGTGATCCACCCTTCATTGCTCCTATCACTGGTGAACAAAGTCAGCAGAGGTTTCCCCAAATCATCGTCCATACTGATGCTTTTGGGAACAAAGTAATCCAAGAGGCTGTGTACCCAGCATGGCACACCATGACTGCTGATTGTGTGTGTTTGTGTTGTTTGCTATGTGGCAAAACAAGGTACTGTTGGCAACCAAGACTAATAAATGCCTCCACTTCAGGGCTGTTCTCTTCATATTCCTTTAGTTACAGCAGCTTCTAGTTAGAAGCTCAGAGGCACATATTATTCCTTGGACTATCACAAAAATCCAACCCGCTACTTAAAAATCTGTTCAAGACACAAGTCTAACTAATTAGTCTTCCAAAACCAAACCAAAAGAAAACAAAAGGAGAGCCAGATTTGGGGTTTTCAGGACAGAATTCTCTCTTAAAGTTCACTTCCTGTTGTCCACAGGAAAACAAGTTGGCGGTGGAGCCACTGCTTTGTGGAACAGCAACACGCAGGATCTCACCATGGCCTCAAGCTTTTCTATGACAGAAATGACAGAACCAGTCCCAAGTACAAACAGGGCAGTGATGAGAAGACGTTCCATGTCTACTTCTCTCCACTTGTGTGCTTCCACCAGTATTTCCAGTTTATGATTCAAAAGAACTCTAAAATTGGCTACTCTTCAACAAGACTACTATGATACAAATGCCAGGAGGCAGCCACTGTGTGCATTCCAAATGTGTATGAGAGACCGCCAGTCTGCAGAAAGCTGGACTTCGGTCAGCAATGCAGTGTAACTTCCCTATGAGAGAGAACACTTTCCCACTTCAAAGGAGACTATGACAGGCAGAATGATGAAGCAGCAGGGAACAAGGCAACAGCAATCACTCGTTCTCATCTGGGTTTTGAGGGTCAATGATTTTGACGTGAGTAAAAGGGAAAAGCCCTTTACGCCCATTCACTTCACCTTCCCACTGGCCATTTATATTCATTCTTGTGACTTTCACAATGTCACCCACCTGTAGGGAAGAAGAAAGAAGAGAAAGTTAGTGCTGAAAAAAGAAAAAAAAAAAATTTATATTAGGCAGGTGCCAGTGGCTCATGCCTGTAATCTTAGCTACTCAGAGGCTGAGGCTAAGATCTGAGGGTTGTGGTTCAAAGCCTGCACAGGCAGGAAAGTCCGTGAGATTCTTATTTCCAATTAACCACCAGAAAACTGGAAGTGGTGCTGTGGGTTAAAGTGGTAGAGAGCTAGTAGCCCTGAGCCTTTGAAAAAGCTCAGAGACAGTACTTAGGCTCTGAGTTCAAGCCCCATGAGCAGTTCCCCCCTCCCCCAAGTTTATATTAAATCACCAGCACTATGGAATCCAAATAAACTTATTTTCTTTCAAGACCCATACATTTTTTCCCAGTGCTTATGCTTATATCTAAAAATCAAGTTGTGTCAAAGACACAGAGTGCTACCAATATACCTAGTGTACTTCTCAGTTGGCAAGAATGAATGCCAAGAAAAGTAGCTTCTGAGCACACACACATTGGGTACTAAGCTGATAGAAATAGTAGAGATGAACGCTTGACTCTTGATAATTGGTGTGTGTGTGTGTGTGTGTGTGTGTGTGTGTGTGTGTGTGTGTGTGTGTGTGTGTGTGTGTGTGTGTGTGTGTGTGTGTGTGTGTGTGTGTGTGTGTGTGTGTGTGTGTGTGTGTGTGTGTGTGTGTGTGTGTGTGTGTGTGTGTGTGTGTGTGGTCCCAGGGCTTGAAGTCAGGGCCTGGGAACTGTCCTTGAGCTTCTTTTGCTCAAGGCTAGTGTTTTACCACTTGAGTTGCAGGGCCGCTTATGGCCTTTTCTGTTTATATGGTGCTGATGAATCAAACCCAGGGCTTCATACATGCTAGGCAAGCACTCTACCACTAAGCCACATTCTCAGCCCACTCCCATCTTTTAATATATGATATGATTTGACTTAAACAATTGTCAGGGCTGGAAGTGGTGTTGTGGCTCAAGTAGTAGAGTGCTGCCTTGAACAAAAACAGCTCAGGGACAGTGCCCAGGCCCTGACTTCAAGCTCCAGGACTGGCAAAAAAAAAAAAAAAGATAGGAGGAAGTTGGATATAGTGATACAAGCCTATAATCCCAATACTGGGGATATAGCAGTGGGATACAAAGTATTGGTACTGGTGGCTCACACCTGCTATCACAGCTACTCAGAAAGCTGAGATATGAAGGTTGAGGCTTAAAGACGGCTTGTACAGAAAAATCAATGACAAGCCAGGTGCTGGTGGTTCACACTTATAATCCTAGCTACGTAGGAGGCTGAGATCTGGTAATCATGGTTCAAAGCCAGCCCAAGCAGCAAAGTCCATGAGACTCTTTATCTCCAATAAACCAGAGAAAACCAGAAGGGGTGCTGTTGCTCAAGTGGTACAGTGCTAGCCTTAAGCTGAATAGCTGAGGGACAATGTCTAGGCCCTGAGTTCAAGCCCCAACCAAAAAACAAAACAAAAACAAAAAAACAGAAGTGGGCTGGGAAGGTGGCTCAGTGGTAGAGGGCTTGCCTTGCATGCTTGAGGCCCTGGGTTCCATTCCTCAGCACCACATAAGCAGAAAAAAAAGAAAGCCAGAAGTGGCGTTGTGGTTCAAGTGGTAGAGTGCTAGCCTTGAGCTGAAGAGCTGAGGGACAGTGCCCAAGCCCAGAGTTCAGGTCCCACGACTGGACCCCCCCCCAAAAAACAAAACAAAACCAGAAGTGGCACTGTGACTCAAAGTAGTAGAGTGCTAGTAGCCTTGAGCAAGAGAACTCAAAGACAAGTGCCCAGGCCAAGTTCAGGACTCATAACTGACCCTCCACCCCAAAGATGTTAAAACTCACATTCCAGGCTTTTGCTTGAAACATACTTACAAATTGGTATTAAGAAACTCTGGTCCTCAGTTTTTTCACTTGAAGAAATTTAAGTCCCTGAACAAAGCCAAACAAGTCCTAAAGACTATCAAACTTCCTTATAAAACTTCACATAAGCAGGTGGTGGTGGCTCACACCTGTAATCTTAGCTACTCAAGAGGCTGAGATCTGAGGATTGCAGTTCGAAGCCAGCCTGGACAGAAAAGTCCCCATGACTCCAAAAATCTACTCTAAAAAACCTGGAAGTGGTGCTGTGGCTCAAGTACGCTAGCACAAAGAGGCTCAGGGACAGCATCCAGGCCCTGAGTTCAAGTCCCAGGACTGGCAAAAACAAAAATAAAAAACAAAAACACTTTATAGCCCATCAGCACATGAAGGCAGCTGTAACAACTGCAATGGAGGTATTAGTTTAGCTCAGAGCCCTGGGCTATGCTCTATATTGTGTAGTTAGAATATAAATAAGACAAAAATATAGGCAAAAGTTTATAGCCTCTTGCCCATCTAATTGGACTATATAAAACAGATACATAGAAATCATGTGATGGAACACAACCATATTTCCAGTAGTGGAAAGGCTGAGGCAAGAGGATAATGCGTTTGAGGCCAGCTTGGGTTACATGAAGAAACTGCATTTAAAAAAACAAAAACAAACAAACAAAAATAAAAACAGGCATGTGTTGAATACAGGTTACCCATGCCTGTAACCCTAGCTGCTCAGGAGGCTGAGATTAGAAAATCATGGTTTGAATTCAGCCCCAGCAGAAAAGTCCTCAAGATTCCACTTCCAATTAACCAGCAAAAAGCCAGGGTAAATGTGTGGCTCAAGTGGCAGAAAACCAGCAAGTGAGTAAGCAAGCAAAGTGAGAGTGTGAGGTACTAAGTTCCAGCCCTGGTAACAGTACACATAACAACCCCAAAAGGTATGAGATAGCAAAAGTTCATGTTGTAAACTTTGGATTGTGTTAGGACAACAATATACTGGCTACATGACTGAAGTAACTGCTCTAAGTCTCAGTTTCCTTCTGTCTTTGGAAGGTTCTTAGAATAAAGTAAACATATAGAGGACTGTAGGCCAAAAGGCTCGGGAAGTACATGAGAGGTTGTTACTTGTAAAATCCCTAAGTGGAGTCCAATCCCTACCTCATCACTGCTGCCTCTGGTTTCTAGGGAAAAGTTGGGAGTGGCATGGAGAAACATGGCACTGCATTAACTAATGGGTTTTCAATCTTGTTGTTGTTGTTGGTTGTGGGGTTGAATTCAGGTCCTGGATGCTGTTCACTTAAGGCTAGTGTTCTACTTTGAGTCACTGTACAGACTGGTTTTCTGGTGGTTAACTGGAGGTAAGAGTCTCACAGACTTTACTGCCTGGACTGGCTTCAAACTTCGATCTTCAAATCTCAGCCTCCTGAGGAGCTAGGATTATTATCAGGCATGTGCCACCGGCACCTGGTAGGTCAATTCTTATCCTCTAGGAATTTCCAACTTTGTTGCAAGTTAGACAACAATCCACAGTATAGTCTTGGCAGATAACAATACAATATAAAAAGTAGCAAGTGGCAGAAAACCAGTATTGAACTTACAGAGGTGAATCAAAGAGCAGCCTAGGAAGAAGAGAAGTCACTTTACATTAACACTTCATTTTTGCCTTTTAGGAATTACCTTGGGCTGGATCTCTCTGCTGTGATCATGAAGAAAAGGCACTAGACCAAAATAGAGAAATGATACATGGAGGGCTGAGAAGGCGGCTCAGTGGTAATATGCTTGCCTTGTATATATGAGGCCCTGGGTTTGACTCCTCAGCACCACATAAACAGAAAAAGCTGGACGTGGCGCTGTGGCTCAAGTGGTAGAGCACTAGCCTTGAGCTGAAGAGCTGAGGGACAGCGCCCAGGCCCAGAGTTCAAGCCCCATGACCGACCCCCCCCCCAAAAAAAAGATATATGAAACAGAAAAATGGCTATGAAGCCATCATTTTAAATCTCAAGATTAATAGCACAGGCACTGGTGGCTCATGCCTGTAATCCTAGCTGTTCAGGAGGCTGATCTGAGGATTGTGGTTCAAAGCCAGCCTGGGCAAGAAAGTCTGTGAGACTCTTATCTCCAATAAATGACCAGAAAACTGGAAGTGGCACTGTGGCTCAAGTGGTAGAGTGTTAGCCTTCAGCTGAAGAGCTAAGAGACAGCACTGAGGCCCAGAGTTCAAGCCCCATGACTGACTAAAATAAAATAAAGTAAAATAGACTAATAGCAGCAGCTCAGTCCAGAAGGAAGCCATTATCCCCAGAAGACAGTCACTCCCAAAGTCAGTATCTGCTATCAATTTAGATTTTGAAACCATGTATGGATTCAACATCTGGAACAGAAGAATGCTCACTTGTGCATCAGACCATTCTTAATAGAGCCAAGAGGTTTGTCTGGCAACTTTTTTCTAGAGCAGGCACATTTGGTAGCACTCATTAAACTGACCAAAACGTCCTTCTAGGCTGGGTGCTGGTGGCTCACGCCTATAATCCTAGTTACTCAGGAGGCTGAGATCTGAGAATCTCAGTTCAAAGCTAGCCAGGGCAAATTCCAGATTCTTATCTCCAACCATCTTGAAAAAAGCTCAAAACAGAGATGTAACTCAGTGGTACAGTGTTAACTTTAAGGAAAAAAGCTAAGCAAGAGTATGAGTTCAAGCTTCAGTACCAACACACACACATAGAAAGAAAAAAAAAAGAGGGGCTGGGAAGGTGGCTCAGTGGTAGAGCACTTGCCTTGCATGCATGAGGCCCTGGGTTCGATTCCTCAGCACCACATAAGCAAAAAGAAAAAAGCCGGAAGTGGCACTGTGGCTCAAGTGGTAGAGCGCTAGCCTTGAGCTGAAGAGCTGAGGGACAGCACCCAGGCCCAGTTGAGGCCCCACGACTGGACCCCCCCCCCCCAAAAAAGAAAGAAACAAAGCCAGCTGGGGCAAGAAAGTCTAAGACCTTTACCTCAAATTAACCACAAGAAATGAGGAAGTGGAGCTGTGGCTCAAAGTGGCAGAGTGCTAGTCTTGAGAAAAAGAGCTTAGGGACAGCACCCAGGCCCTAAGTTCAAGCCCCACAACCAACTGCCCTCTCCCCCCCCAAAAAGGAG